GGTTACTGTGGTTCCTGCCCTTTAAGGTAAGGAAACTACGGCCTGTGACATCATTCATTCATTCACCCTGTCATGCCTCCTTCAACCTGTTTTATTAAAAAATAAAACAGTGAGACTTTATATTGTGTTTTGGAATTTTATTTTTTTTAAGATTTTATTTATTTCTAGAGAGAAGTGGAGGGAGAGAGAAACATTAACGTGTGGTTGCCTCTCACATGCCCTCAGCTGGGGACCTGACCTGCAACCCAGGCATGTGCCCTGATTGGGAATCAAGCCGGTGACCCTTTGGTTCACAGCCCGCACTCAATCCACTGAGCCACACCAGCCAGGGCTGCACTTTGGAATTTTAATCACATCTGATCTTTCCTCTTTGGGGATGTGGGGATACTAGGTACTTTATCTTATAATCTAGTCACTTGATTCAAACAGCTGTTCAGTCCACACACCAGTGCCATGGTCCTGTTTTCCCACGGTGACAATTGTGCCCCCCACTTTTTGTTCCTGTATCAATACTTTCTTCCCTTCTGTTTCAGGGCACCATGGAGTGGCCAAGATCCCCACAGCAAACCACCTTGCTCCTGATCGTCTGCGTGCTCTTTCTGTTCCTGGTGTTGACAGGGATGCCCATGGCGTTCTACATTTAAGTACTTCAGAGAGGGATGCCCGGCATCTTGAGGAGGCATCCTGGTGAAATATGGGGAGTGGGTATTGAATCTCATCAAATGCCTTTCACAGACCCATCCACATGGTTTTATTTTTTGTATTTAATTGTTTGGTGTGAGGTTTTGCATTACTGCATTTCATTGAACTTAAGACATCGGTGACTGTAAAATGCGTAATTTTATACACCATGGGAAAAGAAAGAAGTGCTATTTAAGGGTAAGATGCCATCAAGTGGGAGACGCAGCGTGACTTCAGAGAAGGTAAAAAATGTAGCATGAGAAATATCAATCCCTTGACATTTAGAGAGAATTCACCCGTCAATGTGTCAGGTCCTAGAGCTGTTGAGGGGAGGATCCAGCTAATCCTTGGATGGTTTTTGTAGTTTCTCCCTGTGTCATCTGCATATTAATCCTTTTAGATTTACTACTTTTGACAGTTTAGTCTTCTTTTATGCCCTGGAAGTCTTCATTCCATTCAGTGTTTCAGATTATTAGCTCAATTATTAATATTATTTTATAATTAAACAAAATCTTATCTTTCTTTGGTTCTATCCCCTTTCTTCCTTTCAACGTCTGTTTGCAGTTTACCCATCATTATTAGATGTGCCCAAAGGTTTTCAAGTTCATTTTTATTTTTCTGAAAAACCAGTATTAGGATGTATGTGTGTCCATTATTTCTGTGCCTTTTGTTTTCCTTTAATATGTATTGGGTCTATCCTTTATTTCTGTTCCTTGTCTCTGTTTTTGAGTAAATTCATTTGTGTTCTCTTTTGACAACATTACTTGCTGTGATCCTATACTTAGTCATACAAATGTACTTTAACTGTAGCCCTGACCGTCTTGAAGTTTGACCGTTCATGTTGCCTAAGTATTAGATTGTAGCATTTCTAAAGAGTACTTTGAGACTCGGTAATTGGATTTATTTAAAATTAGTTTTGTTTTCTTGATTTACTGCATCGTGAACAGAGAATGTGGCCTATAATAGATCTATCTGCTTTCCAAACATTTAGAAAAAGCTTTTATTGTGGCCTAGAACATGTCCAACATTTCTGCGTGTTTCATGGACATTTAAGAGGAAAATTCTGTCTGTAGAATTCAAAACTCTACATGTCTGTTAATAAACTCAGTCTTATCAATCATGTTGTTCAGGGTCAGGTGTTACATAATTCTGGCCTATCTGTCAGAAACCAGTAAGGTTATGTGAGCCCTGGCCCACGTGGTTCAGTTGGTTGGTGCATCATCCCATATACCAAAAGGTGGCAGGTTCGATTCCCGGTCAGGGCACAGAACTAGGTTGCGGGTTTGATCCCGGTCACTGCATGTATGGGAGGCAACCAATTGATGTTTCTCTCTCTTCTCTCTCCCTAAAATTAATAAATGTATTTTTTAAAAAAATTTAAAAAGGTGATGTGAAAATCTGTTAGTACAATTATGTTTGTCAATATATTTTTATAATCTTTGCTTTACGTATTCATAAACTGTGTAATTTGATGCATATAAGTATCGCATTGTCATGCCTTTGCCAAATAAATGATATATGTACACACCATGCACAGTGCCTGGCATTTAGTAGGAACTCAATAAATGTTAGTGAAAACCCGATTCTGACTCCTTTGTCAAGTATAAAATGGTCGTCCTTAACCAATTTAATCCTTTGCCTTAAGTCGTACCTTGTCTGATAGTGGTTGATATTGCTGCCCTGCTTTTTAAAATTCCCCTGTGTGTGCAGACTCTGTCATCTTGTTTTAACAGGACCTCCGGTGGCTTCTCCTGAGTTTGCTGGTGGAATTCGGGAGAAGTGTCGGATCCTGTTTCTTCAGTCCTCTCTCGGGCTGATGGCATTCAATGAGCCACACCTGAGGAATGTACTTCTCAACTGTTACATTCCTTAGGATTTGATTGGTTGTAAACAGAGAAGCTCAATTCAAATGAACTTAAGTCAGGGGTGTCAAACTCATTTTTACCGAGGGCCACATCAACCTCGTGGTTGCCTTCTGAGGGAAGGCATTCCGAATGTAATTTCAACTCCTTAACAGTTAAGGAGTAGTTACATTTACACAGTCCTAACTGTTAAGGAGTTGAAATTACATTCGGCCCTTTGAAGGCAACCACAAGGCTGATGTGGCCCCCGGTCAAAATGAGTTTGACACCCCTGGCTTAAGTAAAGAGATGAATTGTTCACTCATGTGCTAAAGTTCGGGCTGGAATTGGCTTAATTTATAGCAGGTTCCTTCCCGGGGCCTCTCCTCTCCATGGACCCTCCCAGCGCCTACCTTTTAGGGGTGACCTCTCTCTCTTCCACATGGCTGGAGGGGGTGGCTGTCAATGGCCCTGTGCTCACCTCTGCCAGGTGGCAAAGTGGGGGACTGGAAGCAGATTCTGGTCATACACACCCCACCCCTATAGCTGCTCTGCAGCAGGGACCAGAGTCTTTAATTAGTGTTAAAGGAACAGCAGCTGCAAAGGCCCAAGACAAGAATGAGCTCAGGAAGAGCAGGTAGAGAATGGACTGCAGGTGGGTGAGATAGAAATGGAGGTGGGGGATGCACGTGGAGACCATCCTGGGGCCTCTGATGAGCTCAGACAGTGCCACAGTCCCAGTAGAATTTGTGGGATATTGAAAGTAATCATGATGCTAATAAAAATCACGTGAGCAGTAGCCACTTGCTTGGGCTCTATCACATGCCAGGAACACCATCTCACTGATGCTCGATGCAGCAACTACACCCTTGAAGGTCTGTTTTCCACACAACAACCAGAAAGACCCATTAAACCATAATTAACACCATTCAGCCCTGGCTAGTATTGCTCAGTGGATTGAGTGCCAGCCTGCAAACCAAAGGATCTCTAGCTTGATTCCCAGCCAGGGTACATGCCTAGCTTTCAGGCCAGGTCCCCAGTAGGGGGCGTGAGAGGCAACCACACATTGATGTTTCTCTCTGTTTCTCCCTTCCCTTCCCCTCTAAAAATAAATAAAATCTTAAAACAAACAAACACATTCAGCCCTGGCTGGGTGGCTGAGTCCAGATGGCTGAGTTGGTTGGAGTGTCCTCCCATGCACCAAAAGTTTGCAGGTTCGATTCCCAGTCAGGGCACTTACCTAGGTTGTGGGTTCATTCCCTGGTGCAGGTGCGTACCAGAGGCAACTGATGGATGTTTCTCTCTCACCCTCTGTCCCTCCCTCAGGTGAGGATTTTTTAAATCCTCACCCACTTCAGCGGTAAAAAGCAAAGTCCTCACAGTGGCTGTCCAGCCCCACAGGACCTGCCCTGGGTGTCATCCTTCCTGTCCCCTTCCCCACACTCCAGCCTCACTGACCTCCTTGCCACTCGCACAGCCTATCACGTTTCTGCCTCAGGACATTTACACTGACTGTTCCCTCTGCCTGAACGCTCTTCCCCAGCAGCTCACATGTTCTGCCACTTCAGGTTTCTGCTCGAACGCGGTCACCTCCTTAGAGAGCCCTCCCCTGACCTCCCCCTGTAGGTCACCATCTCCCTGTCTTTACAATTATGCATCAGTGTATTCTTGTCTGAGACCCTAACAGCCACTTCTCGTCCGGTGGCTCTCCCTGGGGAAACTGAGTCCTGGGAAGGCTGAGTTGGGCAAGGGAGGTGTAGAGTTCAGGCTGTGCCTCCCAGTAGCTCTCCCACACACCTACACCACCAGCTTGTGGGACCCCACGCTCTCGACCTCCACCCCACGCACTTGAAGCTTCTTTGTCCCTTCCTGGAAAGGGACATGTAGGACCCACGACAGCGTCTGTCTGTCGCATCTGGTGAACACGGCGGAGGGGGAATGTGTCAAATATAGCCAATGTAAAATCAACGGGGAAAATGCTGCATGCCAATTTCTGTTCTTTTTTGCCTTCTCTGTAACCCAGTTTCAAACGCTCCGAAACGAGGATTTTGCCTAACTTTTCCACGAGGGGGCGCGGCCTCTCCCACAGCCAGAGGGACCCGGGGCAGACTCTTACATACACACCTGCACCTCCCGCCCTGCAGACAGCCCAACGCCTGCACCTTGGACAGGCCAGTTTCCTTACTGGTGGCAGGGGATCTAAGCAATGACGCAGGCCCCTCCCACGGCGCTACCCAGAGCCCTTCTGCAGCGAGGGCTTTTCTCCGGTACTCATTTTACTCATTCATCTATTCACCCGGCATTCCCTGAGCTCCTGCTGTGTGCTGAGACTGGAGCTGGGCAAGTTTGGATCAGAGGGAGGAGCTAGACTATGTGGTCCATTGTCCTGAGGAAATGTTAGGGCTGGTACTGAGGATGTTCACCTATTATTCACAAAACCGACCTATCAACTTTTATTTTTCTTAGAGAGAGGGGAAGGGAGGAGGGAGAAGGAAATATTGATGTGAGAAACATAAATTAGCTGTGTTCTGTAAGCAACCTGATTGGGGACCAAACTAACAACCCACACACATGCCCTGACTGGGAATCGAACCAGCAACTTTTATGTTTGCAGACCAATGTCCAATCAACGGAGTCACAGCACCTGGGGCCTTGACCTGTTAATTTATATCTCCTGAGGCTTGAGCTGGGCCAAGTCTGTGGAATAGGGAGGAAACGACTGTTGTCCCCACCCCTGAGTGACTCCAAGGCTGATGCTGGGATGTATAAATATTTATTCAGTGCCCCCAGCACTTCTGGAGGACCTACTATGTGCGGAGGCCCGGGCTCAACCAAGTTTGAGTCACAGAAAAGAACCAGAATGTGTGGTGTCTGTCAAAGGGGATTCAGGGCTGGTACTGAGGATGCTGGCCTACTATTCACTCATTTACCTGGCCTATTAAATTTATATCTACTGAGGACAGGACCTACTGTGTGCTGAGGCCTGGGATGGGTGACATCTGGGGTACATAGGAGGAAGCAACTACCATATTTTGCTGTATATAATGTGCTCAAATTTTTGAGGGAAAAATAAAGATGCACATTATATGTGGGTATAATGATTCATATCACAGGCATAATCATCCTGTGTGTAATGCGCACAAAAATGTAGGCGCACATTACACAATGGAGCGCATTATACACAGCAAGTACGGCATGTCATCCCCACCTCTGAACGATTTCAAGGCCGGTGCTGGGATGTACAACTGTTCGTTCAGTCACCCAGCGCTTCCTGAGGAAATACTGTGTGCCAGGCCTGTCCAGCAGATGCTGGAAGTAAACAAGGCACACTCCCTCCTCCCAGGCCCTCACCAAAGAGCATGAACCTTTCATGAATTTACTGAACAAATGCCTGCGCCATCATGATTTCAACAATTATAAGGCCAGCCAGAGACCCACAGATACTTATTTGGGACTGCTTTGGTGGGTGATGTTTATAACTGAGAGAGTTGGTGGGGAGGAGGGGTCAGGGAGGGGTGCAGTCCCAGCCTTGTGACATCCTCCCTGCGTGACCCTGGGCAAGTCATTGAAGGTTCTCTGAGCCTCAAGTCCTCACAGGCAGCACAGGGCTGAGACGGCATCTACCCCCAGTGCCATGGGGTGGAAAATCAGGCTTAAACACGCTCAGCACAGTGCCTGGTCCGGGAGGCCCCGTGAACCCTCAGCTCTTATTCTGCTGGTCCTCGGAGGTTTTTGCAGGGTCACTACTGCTAACAGGCTTCCCGTTCCCGAGAGAGTGCAGGCATCCAGTCAGGTGTGGCGGCTGGGCAGTGCTATCCTTGAACAGGCTGCGCTGGGGGGACTTCTTGTCCGCGTGCGTCCTCTGGTGCCGGATGAGGGCAGAGGAGAAGCTGAAGGCCCTGCCACAGCCGCAGCACTCGTAGGGCCGCTCCCCGGTGTGTACAATATGGTGCTGGATCAGGTAGGCGCGGTTGCGGAAGGCCTTGCCGCACTCCGGGCATGTGTAGGGCCGCTCCCCGGTGTGTATGCGGCGGTGCAGCGTGAGTGCAGATCCCTGGCTGAAGGCCTTGCCGCAGTCCCCGCACCGGAAGGGCTTCTCGCCCGTGTGAATCTTCTGGTGCTCGAGGAAGGAGGACACGTGGCTGAAGGCGGATCCGCACTCCAGGCACCTGTAGGGCCTGGCGCCGGTGTGCACCAGGTGGTGCTGCGCCAGGTGCGAGCGGTTGCTGAAGGCGCGGCCGCAGTCCCCGCACCGATAGGGCCGCTCACCCGTGTGCACACGTCGGTGCTGACTCAGGTGCGACACCTGCGTGAAGGCCTTGCCACACTGTGTGCACACGAAAGGCTTCTCACCCGTGTGGATGCGCCGGTGCTCGGCCAGCGAGGCACTCTGGCTGAAGGGCGCACCGCACTCCGAGCAAGTGTAGGGCTTCTCACCGGTGTGCACTCGCCGGTGCTGCGCCAGGTGCGCCACCTGTGTGAAGGCTTTGGTGCACTGACCGCAAGCGTAGGGCCGCTCGGTCGTGTGTGTGCGCCGGTGGCGCAGCAACGCAGAGGAAAAGCGGAAGGCCTTGGGGCACTGGGCGCAGGCAAACGGCTTCTCTCCGGTGTGCACGCGCTGGTGCTCGAGCAGGGCCGCGCGGCTGCGGAAGGCTTTTGCACACTGGCCACAGGCGAAGGGCCGCTCGCCTGTGTGCACGAGCCGGTGCTGTGCCAGGTGCGAGGGGCGCACGAAGGCCTTGCCACAGTCAGGACACGCGTGCGGCCGCTCGCCTGTGTGCGTGCGCCAGTGCGCCGCCAGGTAGGAGCCCTGGCTGAAGGCCTTGCCGCACTTGTCGCAGGTGTGCGGCCGCTCGCCAGTGTGCACGCGCCGGTGCAGGGTCAGGTGCACGCGCTGGCTGAAGGAGCGCCCACACTCTGGGCACGCAAATGGCTTTTCCCCGGTGTGCGTCCTGCGGTGCAGGGTGAACGCGGAGCAGTAGCGGAAGGTCTTGCCACAGTCCTCACACTTCCAAGGTTCCCCGGGGGCCCTGGTTGCTGCAACCTTTGCGCTCTTTCCCTGTGCACCGCGCCTCTGGGGCCCGTGGGTGGCCTGGGAAATGGGAGGACTTGGTCTGGTTCCTGGGACATCGCCAAAGTCATCACTGTCTGGGGCACTGTCCCCAGAGAAGTCTTCCTCATGGGCCCCTGGCTTCAAGCTGCCTTCCTGGTTTTCCTGTCGCTCCTTGAAGTGATCTTCACGTATCCAGGCTTCTCCCAACTCGGAGCCCCGGGAGACGGCGGTGACCAGGAGTCCATCCATCCCCGCTCCTGCGCTGCTGCCTCGATTTCACCTCTCGGTACCAGATCTGGAAGAAATAGAAGGAAAAAACCAAGGATGTCTGTCATTTGTCCTCTGCAGGGGAAGGGGCCAGCACTGGGTCTCAACCTCTACAAAGGTGACAGTTTGGATCAGGTCACTGTGGCCCGAGACGGTCCTGTGCCTTGGAAGACAGAAGCAACATCCCTGGGCTCCACACACTGGAAGTCAGTAGCCCTGCCACCATCACCCAGTTGTGACAACCAAAAATGTCCACACACATTGCCAGGTATCCTCTCAGGGTACAAGACCACCTCTGGTTGAGAATCACTGAGTTCATGGACCTAAAAACAATTTAAAGAGATCCTGCATACACGTGAATCCTTCAGCTCTTACATACAGCTTTGTACCAGGATCAAAATGTGTGTCCCCACCCCTTCCCATATATGTGGAAGCTCTAACTCTTTCACTGATGGTATTTGGAAGTGGGGCCTTTGGAAGGTGTTTAGGGTTAAAAGAGGTCATGAGGATGGGGCCCCCACAATGGGATTAGTGTCCTCATAAGAGAAAGAGACTGGAGCTGGCTCTCTCCACCACGTGAGGACTCAGTGAGAAGGTGACTGTTTACAAGCTAGAAAGAGAGTCCTCACCAGGACCTGGACCGTGGTGGCGCCCTGTTCTCAGCCTTCCAACCCTCAGAAATGTAACAAAATAAGTATCTGTTGTTTAAGCCGCCCAGTCCATGCTATTTTGTCATAGCAGCCTGAACAGACTCATATACCCCCAAGGACAGTTCCCTCTTTGGAAGAAAAGTCAGTCCACTCCACACACAAAGGAAAAATTAGCCCCCACATTCCATGAATAATATACTGCTGAGGGGAGCACACACTGGGAAAACCACATTTCCTAGGACAGCTGAAGACACACATGCCCAGTGGCCCAGTGCTTACATTTTCTGGAATGTGGTACATATATGTGCCAGGAGGCCTGTTGGAGATTGTATCAGCCAAACATCAGAATCAATGCAACCACTCATCAACAAGAAACTAGACAACTAACCGGGGTATGTTCACACGACAGAACAGCTCACAGCACAAATACAAATGACTGTCAGCTAATGCACCAGCTTAGAACCTCAAATACGGTGTCTGCAAACGAGGTAGGGCGCAGAAGAATATATCAGGTATGATACGGCCCTGGCGGGTGTGGCTCAGTGGACTGAGTGCCGGCCTGTGAACTAAAGGGTTGCCGGTTTGATTCCCAGTCAGGGCACACGCCTGGGTTCTGGGCCAGGTCCCCAGTAGGGGGCGTGTGAGAGGCAATGACACAGGTATAACCTAGTTTAGGCTTCAAAACAGGCAAAATGAAACCATTTCTTTTTTAAGGATTATGTGGCAAAGGTTCACAGGTCCACCATGGCCTGGGACCATTGTCTGTGACAAATGCAGAGATCAGTCTGTCCCCAGGCTTGGCCACTTACAAAAAGTCCCAGGGGACTTGTGGGCACAGGATCATCTGAGAGGCGTTGGTCTCAGCCATTCTGAAGCCAGCGCGGCAGTATTATTATGGCAGCAATGATGACCGGCACTCACTAGACACAGAGCTATGTGCCCAGCACTCTTTAAGCTCTTGCCACATATTAGCTCGTTTCTTCCTCAGTGAGGCCCCCAGAAGTGGCAATGCCAGGGCCCATGCTCGGGCCGCCTGGCTGCAGACTTCATCCTCTACAACGCCCCTGCCTGCCTGGGGCATGCATTGCTCTTGTTCCACAGACACAGGCGTGCTCCTGCCTCAGGGCCTTTGCACTGGCTGTCCCAGGTGCCTGGAATGCTCTTCCCCCAGCTCAGGCCTCGGAGCACATGACTTCTGAGCAGGGACTTATAGTTCTGCTGCACCCCCATGGGCTGCCCTCAGGCCTGTGTCAGCCCAGCTGAAGGCAGTGGCGCCCACCTCATGGTCTCTGGAGCATCAGGTACTGTCCACGCCATTCAGGTTGTGGACCCTGCTCTGGCCACCGTATCTCAGTGGGTCCAGTTGGCATCTGTGGGAGAAAGAAATGGGGACCTGTGAAGGAGGATTCTGGGGCAGACACGGGCCGGTGGAGCAAAAATGCAGGGTGTTCAGTGTGTGTGCGTGTGTGAGAGGTAGGTGGAGTCAGGGGAACAAACCCAGGAAGCACACACACACAAACAAGCAATGGAAGGGGAGACAGACACGCTCAGGGGCAGACACACATCACATCACACACAATCACACACGGAATTGCACATGATCACATCTTGGGGGGCAGTTACGGCACCCCCCACTCTGGCCTGGCACTCACACACCGCACACACAGGAGGCAGGTAGTCTCGCACACTGGCATGGCTCCAAGTGTACTTGCACTGTTGCACATGCACATGAAGCTACACACAAAAGGTTACACACATAGCCCCAGCATGTAGAGTCACACTCAGACATACACAGAATGACACAGGCCGCCCAGCTGCAGGAACACGCACTGAGCCACCCTGCACAGTTGCACACCCAGACACACACATGTGGAATCACACCCCTCGCATCCAGGAGAACAAGCTGCACACGTGCCCAAAGTCACTTACGGGCAGAGGCCCCCACGTGCATAGACACACGCTCGTTTATGCACAGCCACCAGGGTCAGGCATGTGCAAAGGACACAGTGACATGTGGGGACAGACTGGTACGCTAAGACTGAGTGGCACGAACAAGTTACACACCTGAACGGGCACAAAGTTCTGGAGTCACGCAGGTGCAAACACACGGTGACACATGTACCTGCTGCTGGAGTCACGAACACACAGAGACACACAACACGGACACGTGCATATCCACTTGCGCATGCACACACCACATACCCACGCCCGCGCCCCCTGGGACCAGTTCTAAAGGCCTAGGGCGGCTGCCGCGTAGCCTGGTGGGTTCGGGCCAGATTTCCCTCTGACTGTCGCCCTCCCAGGCCCGCGCAGACCTCCGGTGACCCCCCTCGTCCCGCGATGGGACTGAAGTGCAGGCCGCACAAGTCCCGCGGAGGGAGCTCAAAAGCCGAGTCGCGTACTGGGAGAGGGTGTGCAAGGCTCCAAAAACTACAACTCCCAGAAGGCACAGCGCTCCATCTGCGCAGGGACTGTGTGCCGCTGCACTTGAGTCAACGAAACTACAACTCCCAGAAGACCCTACGACGGTATGAAGTGGACCGTGGAGTCCCTGCGGCCTCTGGAGCCTAAGAAGGGGCGTGTGGCTGGGGGTGGGGCTTGGGCTGTCCAGCGTTCTGCCCATCACGGCTTGTTAGCAGGGTGGTGGGCGGGACCAGTTCTATGAGGGCTGGACTCTTCTTCCTTAGGGGCAGCCACAGTCCACAGGCTTAGAAAAACAAGAGGTGGCCACAGGTGGTGTGGCTCAGTGGAAAGGCCGCCGATTCATTAATTTCCCTGTTACGGCACAAGCCTGGGTTGCGGGCCGGGTCCCCATTTGGGGGCAAACAAGAGATTCAGTTTAGGTCCTTCTGGGTTCGGCTGGGCTCACACGCCCCATCTGTGGTCGCTGCTGGGCCTCTTGGGACTGGGTCACCTGAGTGGCCAGCCTCTGCTGAGTCGGTTCCTATGTTCCACGGGCTCAGTCACCCTCCAACAGACCACCCTGGGCCTGTTCCCGCGGCTGCGGGTGGGGTTCACCGAGAGTGCATGGAAACCACAAAGCCTCTTGAGCCCTAGGCTCGGCATGGCTGCATTTCCATGTTCACGGCATTCCACTGGCCAAAGTAACCTGCAGGGACAGCCCAGAGTGGGGAAACGCACACATTACAAAGTGGGTGGGCTCAAGGTGAGGAGGAAAATGAGGGTAATTTCTTGCAATCTGTCCCACACACTTAAATGTGGTGAACCACACACATACAGTCTGGGTTCACACACACTCCTCTTCTACAAAAACTGTGCAAGGATCTTCTGACTGCTCTTCAAGGGAGGTTACTCCCAGAACTTTCCTGTCAGGGTCAGCCCCTTTCAGATACAGACAGATCCCTCTCTGTATATGTATCTATTTCTATGTATCTACCCATCTACGATAGGCTGAGTTTTACTGGAACATATCAGCTCACGTGACTACTGTGGGAACTGTAGGTCTACAGTCTGTAGGGCTGGCCGGCAGGCTCAGGCAGGAGCTGGCAATGCAGTAGAATTTCTTCTTCCTTGCTGGAAAGCTCAGTGTTTGCTCTTAAAACCTCCAGCTCATTGTATGAAGCCCACCCACATTACTAAGGGCGAGCTTTACTTACAGCACACAGACTGTTGATGTTAACCACACCTACAAAACACTGTCACAGCAACACCTGAATTAGTGTGTGATTCAATCACTGGGCGCTGGAGCCTGGCCAAGTCAATGTATAAAACAACCATGACAGGAATATCCTGGGAATGTGGGTAGGAAGCTAGAGTGAAGGGACAGAGAAAGACAAATGAGATAAATGGTACCTCTAATTGTTCCAGTGGCACCTCACTATTCCTTGTTAACTTGTTCTGGAACTCATGACGAGTGCTGAAACCAACGAGTACAGGGTTTGACCAGTTCTGAAGCCAACAAGTACTGAGGTATGACTGTACTAGAAAAAAATCACCAATAAGTCTCGCTTATAATTTTTTATTTGTTGATTGATTTTTAAAGACAGGAAGGGGTAGAAAGAGAAAGAAACATCGATTTGTTGTTCCACTTATTTATGCATTCATTGGTTGATTCTTGCATATGCCCTGATCAGGGATCAAACCGGCAACCTTGGTGCCTTGAGATGATGCTCTAACCAACTCAGCTACCCAGCCAGGGCCATCACACGTACTTTTAAAAAGTAGGCCTATACTACCTCCTCTAAGGTTGTGAAGCTAGAGCCTAGGCTGTGCACATGTGCACGCACGTGTGTGGGTGTGACACGGACAAGAAGGAGACTGTCCCAGGCACTTTCAATGGCTGAAGGGGGAGGGATGGAGAGATTGTCATCGGTTCACTGCCTGCTCTGTGTTTGTCCGTTCCAGGCCCTTGTGTGCAGAGGGGAGGGGAGGAGTGGAGACCTGAGTCCTGAGCCCAGCTGTCCCCACAATGGAGGGGTATCAGCCACTGTACTGAAGAGGGGAAGGAGGGGGAGCCAGGGGGAAGAGGTGGGGAGAATGGCAAGGGACGGTGAGGAAGAAGAGCAGGGTAATGAGGAGGAAGGCATCTGAAGCAGAGGGACAGCCCGAGAGGAGGTGGAGAGAGAGCATCAGAGAAGACATTGGTCAGTAGGAACAGGGATACAGAGAACTGTGGGGATGGTGACAGTGATAGGAGGGAAGGAAGGAAAAGCAGATGAAAGAGGAGACAAGATGAGGGCTAGGCAGAGGGACAAGGACAATGCCACAAGGACAAACACAGCTGGGAAGGGGAGCAGAGGAGAGAGAGAGGAAGACCGAGGAAGGGCAGGAGGAAGAGGGACAACAGAAGACCCCATGAGAGGACCCACAGCTGGAGATGTGGAGACAGACATAAAATCAAATACAGGGATAAACAGAAATAGGAGGAAAATGTGGGGAAGCAAAGCAGAGAGATGGGGAGAGCCTGGGAATCCAATCACTGCCTGCTCTGTGCTTGTCCATTCGTGGTGGCGAAGGAAAGACGCCTGCAGAGATGAAGGCAGAGAGGGAGCAAGTCCTGAGGGTCCTGGGGCCCTTGAGCAAGATTCCCTCCTCCCGGCAAAATGCACAAAGGCCCCTGTGATTGAATGTGGGGTTCCAGGCTCTAGAAGTGCACTCATGGACCTCAGATGAGCTGGGCTTTGTACACGGAGTGAAGAGGTCTCAGGATCACAGGGAGGCGTAGACAGGAATGGAGGGAGGATAGAAGATGGGAGAAAAAAGGTGGCAGCATCAGATGTGGCGGTGTGTCTGTGACCCAGTGCGACCCGGAGCTTCTATTTGGGTGTGGGGGACTCAATGCACTGGGGAGAGGCTCTGTGGCCTTCCCATACACAGATACACACACCCCTGCCACGTGGTGAGGAAAGGACAGACTAGCAAGAGAGATGAAGACAGAAATGGGGGCAATGCATGAGGAAGAGGAAATAGAATAGATGACATGGAGAGAGAACAGAATGTGTTTTATTAAATCTTCCAAATAACTGATAAAGCAATTCTCTGCAAAATATTACAAAAAGTAAAAAAAAAAATAGAGAAAGCTCTCTAGCTTATTTCAGGCATGAATGAGTTTGATTGACAACTACCCAAAAGACGGAGAGTTGATCTAACTTCATTTTTAAATCCTTACCCGAGGATCAATGCTTATTGATTTGAGAGGGAGGGAGGGAAGGAGGATGGGAAGAAGAGAGACAGACAGACAGACACCACTTGAGACATCAATTGGGTTGCCTCCCACAAGTTTCTGGATGGATCTAACTCACAACCTAGGTATGTGCCCAGATTGAGAATTGAACCCGCAAACTTTTGGTGCACAGATGACACACTCCCATCAACTGAGTCACCTGGCCAGGGCTAAGTCGACTTATTTTTACTGGGCCTGGATAATTCTGATGCAACAACTGGTCGAAAATTGTGTCAGAAATGTACTGTCAGAAAAAGGGTATAGTGACTATGAAACAGAAGTTCTAAATAAAATTGTAATTACACAAACCCAGCATGAAACAAGGAAGGTTTCTCCTAGTGATGCACAGATGAGACATCAATGTCTCGGGGATGTCAGGTTTGAGCCCCAACTTGGAGAGACAGCAAAGGAATAAAAACTAGACAATAGGAGAGGGGCACGGGGCTGGGTGTGTCCACCCCTCTCACCTTCTCGACCCTGCGAGGTCGATTTCAGAATCCTAACCTTAAGAGAGAGAAGTCAGGTTTGGAAAGGTCAGCAGTTACCTTCCCAAAGTCACACAGAGGGCAAGCAGCAGAGACAGAAGTGGAGGCAGAGGATGAGAATCCATGAGAAAAAAAAAAAAAGTATTGCAAAAGGAAAAGGAAAGAAGGAAAAGGCGGGGGTGGGGCGGTGCTGAGAGGACCAGAGAGATGGGAGGAGAGAGGAAGAGAGAGAAACAGGAACAGAGAGGGCGGGGAGAGGAGGAAGGGTGGGGGCGTGGAGGGGTGAGAAAGCAGAGACTGGAGGATCCGTGCAGATACTCCCGGCCCCAGAAGTGCATACAGTGGAGCCTCACAACTGCGCTTCTACCCCAGGATGGGCCCGCGGATTGTGCTGCTAGGGCTGGGCGCCGCCACCCCCGCGGCTCCTGCTGTGGCCAGCACTCACCCCCCACAATCGCAGCTTGACCAGCCCACGAGTCCCCTCCCCACTCCCCCGGCGCTGCTGGACCCAGCGTCCGTGTGCACCGCGCGTGGCCGCAGATCCTGGTGTCCATGCTGACGCGCTCAGGGGCCCCGCTCTACGTGGGGACCTCCGCAGGCAGCTACGAGGCCATTCCCCGGGCTGCCAGGGTGCGCTGGACTGTGGCCTGGCCATGCGCTACCGCTGCGCTAAGGGGTCGTTGTGATAGACCCGCGCTGCGCCTGCCCTTCAGCCCCGGAGGCCCCGGGGGCCTAGCTCCTCTGCGAGCTGCCGGTGGTGCTGCGGTATGCGCAGGCGGGCCCATGGCTTGGGCGCACCCACCCTTTTGGCACGGTGGACCTTCACCATCTCCTCCTACACCTTGATTTTGGGGGTCCTGCGCTCGCAGCCTTTGGTCAGGATCTGCCTCAAGGCACTGTCCACCTTCGCCGGGACCTGGCTGTGTTGGCTCTCACCTACCTCACGGTGACCGCTAGGTCCCTGAGGCCCCTGGGGCTCCAGAGCCGTCCCCGCCAAGCGCTACAAGCTGGTGGCCATTTTCTACTCATCACCAGGCCCGTCCTGAAGCCACTCACCTACAGCCTTTGGAACTGCAGTGTCTAAGCCTCGGTGGCGGGGCCGCGCCCTGAGCAGGGCTAATTAATGGGAACAGCTGGAAAGGCAGAGCTGGGAGGTAACACACCTCTGTGACCCCATGCGCATCACTGCCTCTCAGAATCTGTGCACC